TAGAATACCTTCCAGCATATGTCAACTGAGAGCAAGATGATTCTTTTTAAAACAAATATACAAATCCTTTTGGGAAAATGGGCAAGTCTCACCCCACCCAGAGGGAGTGGAGGGAGATGGAAAGAACCATATAGCAATTCAGGGGGCTTCGTGCTGCTTAAGGGATGCACCTAGCCTCATCCTAGCTTTACCCTCCCTTGAGCAACAGAAACATGCCATTTTGCTGCCAAGTGTCCCTCTGTGAGAGATGGGATTTGCCCTTTAAGTGACGATCTGAGTGAAGAACCATTGGCATCATACAGACAGCTATCTTTACTTTCTGGTCTCCTTGTTCAATATGAACAGACATTTGTTTAAAACACACTGTGTGAACCAAATATGTTTTTGTTTTCACAACACAGCAAAACAAATGTTTTCCTCCCAGAATCAACTTCCTTAGCTCATGGTTTTATTTCTACGTTGCACATAAGTCTTGTCTGTAACAGTTTGCTTACATTAATTTTTAAAATAAATGCAGCTACAGAAGGATCCTTTATAGGACTAGACTGAAATCAGGCAGCAGTACAGCTTCTTGGTCAGTTATGTACTAGTCTAACTCTAATGGAAGTCAGGTGGGTTTTGCCATTGATTTTACAAGGAGATGTTGTTTAGGGACATACGTTTGAAAATTTGGGCCTAGTCTTTGGACACGTCCCTTTGAGCATCCAATTTGGGTTCAGTGCTCCTGAAATTCACGCCTAATCCAGCTAAAATTTAACACCCAAAACCTGAGACACCAAAACTTAGGGCATGTCTACACATCAGAGCTAAAGTGGAAATTGAGCTATGTCAATTGCATAAGTTGAAATAGCTTATTTTGGCTTTTGGTGCTGCCTACACATCAGGAAGTACATGGTAGAGCATTCTCCCTCCAACTTCCCTTACTCCTCATAAAATGAGGGTTACAGGAGTTGCAGTAAGTCCTCCAGATTGACATTATTTCAACATTATGCTGAAATAACTGTTTACTGTGTAGACACGGACTATGTTATTTCAGAATAATGTCCTTTATTCCGAAATAATGCTGCTGTGTAGACATAGCCTTAGAGGTCACATCTCCACATTTTAGCATACTGGTGTTTATTGGGCCTGCTCCTGCTTCCATCAACATCTGGCAAAATTAATCTGCTCTTTACTGGTGCAGAAACAATTGTTTTGCACACTATCCATTTCTTTTTGTTATGTTTGCACCAGATTAAGGCTGAAACTGTTAGAGAATTTCAACATCTGAGGAACCTCTATGGGTCCCCTATAGCTTGCAGTAATGAGTAAAATAAAATGTTCATTTGTATTTCCTTTCCACTGTAATTGAAATGGATGTCATGCTGGAGCTGCAAACTTGCTATCCAATTATCACCAAACTCAGTTGATTCAAATCTCTCATTCCACTTTAGTATGATGTGAAATGCTCAGGAAGACTGATGCAAATACACATATAGCCTACTAGAACATACAGAGGTGAGAGCTATCCAGACATCATATGTATATAATAAAAGGTGAGAGAAAGACAGAACTTTGGATTTGGGACTGGATTGCCACGAGGAAATGAAATACTTTTATTCTGATGCTGGGCTTGACATATCTAATTGGTATGTAATGCGGATGTGATCCTGCATTCCTTGTGCACCCCAATTTCCCTTTGGTTTTGTTTGGTATTCTTGGGATACAAGGATTTCAGAGTTGGATGTTCTGTGAATCATCAGTTAAGGTTAATGAAAATAAACATAAAATCCTCACGTTACTTAGAATGATGTCTGATGTTGAGTCTGAGGGGCAGTTAGGGGAACACAGACAGTTCTTCATGCACTAGTATTCTATTCTTCTCTTTCTTCCCAGAGTACTTGATGACAAATTGGGGATTTTTTGCACAGCCATACAGTATTTCACATGTAAATATTATGCAGGCTGCCTGTGTATTAAATGGGGGAAAAGAAGGTTCTCATAGTTGCACCAAATGGCACACCTAGAATTCTTTTCTTGTTTGAAATGAGTCATAAGCGCCATTGCACCTCCAGTGAAAAATCACACTGATGCATAATATTTGTGTACTTAAGAGAGAGATTTGTAAAATGTGATCTCTCCAAATTCTGCTTCATATGTTCTAAGGGGAAAACACCCAACTAGTTGAAAGTATGTGATAGGAATGCTGTCACATAACAGACATTTCAGGAAGTCTCTGTAATTTCTTTAATTATTCAAACAACAGAGCACAAGGATAATAACTTCAAGTACATTCTTATACATTATTTTAACAGTAATAGAGATGTATTTAGTCATAAACTATTCTGTAGCCACCACTATTTGTACATTTTATACAAACTATTGCCATACTCAGACCCTGAAAATGGACTTTTATAGTTCCTAAACTTTTTGCACAATGTTAAGACAGTAGATCCTTCATACGAGAGCTTTAGTTATAGATTCTTTGTTGATCCATCTTACAAAGCACTTCTAATGCATATGATGGAGAGGTATTCAGGACATAAAGCTCTGAAGGTATTATTAGGAGACGTAATAAATGGATTGTGAAAGGGGAGTATATTGTCATTAGGAATATGTGCAATGAAAACACAGCACAGTGCTTCGTCAGTTGGCTAAAATAGTTGATCCTAACAACACAGCATCTTAGTGGCTCTCACACTGCAGTGCTCTGAGCTCTTCTTGGCCTTTTGGCCATGATCAAATGCAGCAACATCTGGAGACTATGTCCTACCCTTTCAGGAAAATGGGCTGTGATCTAGTAAGTCTTTTTCAATCCTAGCAGTTATGATTCATGGTACAGCCTCAGACACAATCATGCCTTATGTTCAATAGCCTGCATCCCTGAACACTGTAACAGTGTGAACTCTGAGAAAGCACAGTCTTTAACATTGCCATTGCCACATTCTAACAGTACAGGCCTTACAAAATCCCAGCTGCTGGCCACAGATACTGGTAAGAGAGGACAGATGCCCAGACTCTGCCACATTAAGGACAAAACGCCAAAAAATTCAGACTCATTTGCTTTGAGATCATATTTTACATACCCAGAAATATCACCATTCTGAGCTCTCAGAGTTTATAACCCCAGATGTATTAGCATAAACGAATGGCAGAGAGTTTACAACCCTAATGGCTTTGACACAGCATGGCCTGAACTGAGAATGACTTTACAAACCCAAGGCCATCTCTTGTAAGGCCAGGCAGTTTACAATCCCAAGCAATATCCCACTCTGGGGTGGCAGGCAGTTTACAACCCTGACTGACCAAACTCTGAAGGCTGAATACATAACTGCATGCACAGGCTGTCTGTGAGATTAAAGTGATTACAGCCTCAGCCACTGCCATTGTCTGGTCATAGAGTGATTGTGTCCAGAAACTTCCACAAATGGAGTCCTTACAATTCTAATACTGATCCATTTTGAGCTGAAATTCATTATGGTCCCAGAGAGGGAAAATGGAATCTGCAGCCCCGGATATGGCCATCGTCTGAGCTCAGAGTGACTAGGCACTGAGGTAAGACAGTTTACAAACCATAGATTTTATCCTACTTTGAGCTCAAGGAGATTGTTGTCTAAGCGCCTGATCAAACTCCCATTAAATTCAATGAAGAGACTCCCTTTGACTTCAGTAGGAGCTAGATCAGGCCTCAAACCAGCACCACAAATGGCGGGCCAAAAGCTTGAATCCCCTCCCACAAAGATGACTGTATTCTGACACGGGTAGTTCACAGTTCCAAGACACTGTAACGCTCTGAGCACAAAGAGCTTACACACCAAGGTTCTGTAATCCATGTCATGACAGAACACACAATCCCAGACACTTCTGAGGGAAAAGAGGTCACAAACCCAGACACTGTGGGAGGACAGAGAGCACATCCAATTGTCAATGAATTGTAGATGATGTACACATGATCAGAATTTGGCCATGACAACTTACTACTGCTCCAGAAATTGACTCATTTTTAGCATAAAAAATTATGAACCACCTCCTCCTAAAACTGCCACATTACATGAGCCTGAAAGCCCAAGCAGACATCTTGGAAGACTGAGTGCAAGGTAGTTGCTTTCCAGCTTAGTGGAGGATGTTGCTAAACTTCTGGAGCAAAATGGTAACTTAAGTATAATCATCCTAACTATAACCAAAACTGAAGAAAAAGTGAAAAGGCATTCAAGGAAAGTCTCCCTTATGTCGTGTTATTATCTGATGCATGCACATACTGTTTTGCAAAATTTTTAAAATAGCAAAATTTCCTTTGAAGAACCTCACTAACTAGAACTTTGCTAATTAGCACAAGACAATTCTCACGCAAAGCCTGGTAGTCATACCCGGATCCTTAGCAAAGATTTCATCTGAGTACGGTGATAATTACTCAGATTGCATGACTAATTTTATAGAATACATTTACTAAAATAGTGTGAAGTATCATAAATAGTTGTAACCGAATAGTGCATCCGAATAAGTGAACAAAATATATTTGGTGATTCAAGATCCTTGATTTTTGTATATTGTGTTTTATTCTGTTACTTGTTGATTTAAAAAAAGCTCCAAATCCTGTATCTTTACTCAGGCAAGAAAGCCACTGAAATCTGTTGGCCAGATTCTTTTTTTCAGCTACAGCAGCATGAATCCAGAGTAACTCATTGAAGTTGGTGTAGTTGCACCAGATTTACATCAGTTTAGAAACCAGTTTCCACAAATTCATTGAAGTCACTACAACTCTTCATGGGCACCATGGTTACCTTGCAGATTAGCTTTCCGTAAAGTCCAACGTACTGCTCCAATAACTCAATGGAAAGACTCCCATTGCCTTCTGTGGTCTTTGAATGAGTTCTCAAGTGAATACAGAATCTGGAACAGCAGCACTTTACCTGAGAAAGTGGCAAGATTTGGTCCAGACTGCAATAATCCAAAATGCCTCTGCCAGTCACTAGTGCAAATAAGTGAGGTTCTACTGTTACTACAACAAAACTGAGATTTTTTCAAGAGCTGATGTGATGTATTTGGTTACTTCCTTTAGCAGAATTCAAAGTATAAGCATCACAGCTAAATACAACAATGGGCATTTCTTTAGGTATCATGTTTTCTAAACCAATAAACAAAAAGGAAAGAAAAAAGGGATGCACCAGGAACTCTTAGTTATTATATACTAACCAGACTGTGCATGGCACATTTTATTTCTATAAAACTATTAAAACTATTACAAAATATTCAAAAATACATTTTAGTAAATTTACAGCAGTTATTTCTCAATTTATTAATGCAAAACATCCTTTTTCCCCCTCTGTACAAACTACCCTCTCCATGTCACAGAATCAACGCCATGTGCGCTTTTTAAAAAATATTTTCTAATACATTTCTTTCTTTCTTTTTGAAGTTAAAAATAACAAAGTTTTTGTCGTTATGTAAATAAAAAGTTTGTGTAACAGTCTTGACTTCCAAGAACATGGCCAAATGGTGTTTTTACAAAGCAAAATATTTAAGAAACATGAAAAACAATACAGGAAATGATGTTACATTTGAAACTATTTAAATTAAAATAATATATTCTCATATTTTACACTATTTCAAAAAACGAAATGTGATTCAGTTAAGTATTGATCTCTCAAAAAAATCTAATTTACAATTCTGTGTATAAAAATATAATTTATGGACCCCATGAAGTTTGTCTTTTTTTGATTGTGTTTAGAATTGCTGAAAAGAAGGAGCAATGGAGGGATGGGAATTTTGCTTTCTGAAAGTCAGGACACAGCCTGCCATGTAGAAAAATAGACTCTGTGCAGTTTTGCTTGGCCTCACAAAATAATGTTTTCCCCTGTGAGTGCAGTTCAGGTGATAATAAATTATCAAAGAAGCTTCTTAAGGCTCTTGAAGGTCCGGTTCATATCTTTTTTTAAAACATCTATTCAAAATACCAAACAAATAAATATCCAGGAGAGGAGGAAAACCAAAACAACAACCAAGAGAACGGAACCAACTCCCCCCTCCCCAACAAATAAAAATATATATAATATATATATTTATAAACTAAACAGAACAAAACTTCTCGGGGTCTTTGTTTTCCTTAAAGTCTACTTTGGACTGTCCTACTTTAGTATTATTTTGTCTTAATCCGTGCTCTCCTCTTTGTTTCTTTTTTTCCTTTTCTTTTTCCTGCGAGTTTGTTTATTCCTCTCTCTCTCTGCTGCCTGGGCCGGGCGGTGTGTGGTGGGTGTTGGTGGTGGTGGTGGTGCGGGGGGAGCTCACAGCTGGC